TAGATAGATAGATAGATAGATAGATAGATAGATAGATAGATAGATAGATAGATAGGAGAGAGAGAGAGAGAGAGAGAGGGGGTATACACACACACAAACATACAAACACACAAACACTCAAACACATACACACGCTCGCACACAAACAAACACTATCACGTACTCATCCATTTACTAAAAAAACGCATGTGAAGACCAGATTCACAATGAGTTGTTATCACAACCGCGTACACAAATGCAGGAGTCTACATAATTCAATACTTCACTATCGATTTGTCGACACGTCAGAACAACTGACGGTGTTCGTCCAATTGACATCTGCAAAACATAATAATATTAATAATAATATCCATCTATAATAATTGCAGACTTGGTGCCACTATACAGTAGACTTCATGGCTGTATGGAAAGGGGGCGGGTGCACAATAGTTGTCTTTGAAGTGCGTTTTCGTTGAATTTTAATAAATCACGAAAAAAAAAAACATTAAAAAAATTAAACCCAAAAACAAAGAGTGGCGCAACAATACAGTATTCTCACTGGAAAGAAAAACAAAAACACGTAACTCAGTTTTTGTTGCTTCTTTACCTGTGCAGATTTCTCAACTTTCTCAGTGTGGTTGCCTTTTTCAAGATTGTTTGCACTTGATAAAGATCCGTTAAAAGGGGAAAAAATATTCCTAACGATACTGAAACTTGTTTTTGCTTTGTTTTTATTCTTAAACTAAAATAAAACTTGAAATAATTCGATATTATCAAAATGGTGATAATGAAAGAAACAGTTTTTCAGTCAACAGTTTTATGGAACATTCTTTGGTGAAATACACACAATTCGTCGTCAAATTGATCAGCTGATCTAAACCCAAAAAGCAAACTATTTTATTAAGGAGAGAGAAAAGAAAATAATTTTGATCACACCTTTGCAGTGATTTTTTTAAAAAAGCAAACTATAATTTGCATTTTGACCAAATATTCCTCCGGCACATGCAAGCGAAACCTCAGAAAACGAAATTGCAATTTCAATAGATTTCGCTATTTGGGATTAATACGTCGAAACAGCTGGCCGAAGAATTACTCTATTCTTATAAGCGGAGCTGCTATACCAATCCAGAGGCTGTAGCAAACTTCCCACAACTGACACAGTTAATCAAATCAAAGGATAAAATACCGTTCACTGATCGTGACAGCAACACCCGGGGAGCTCGCTTATCACAGGGCACGACTCTATGCCAGTGACACAAATTCGCCAAATACAAAACACAAGTTCGCCAAACAAAACAAAGAAATCAAACAAATTCTGGAGCGGAAAACAAACAAGGTGAAAAGAGCCTGGCCGTTTTTTCTTATCGGAGCTAGCTATCATTTGAAATCGATACCGAACCACACATGATAATTTGGGGGCATAGAACAACACTAATTTCCAAATCTTTTTGTTTTTAACTCTTCGGGAACGTAGCGTACACATAGATCTACATCCGATTAGCAGCAGACCAAAAGCAACATTCCGGCACATTTCGAACTTTCATGCACAAATCTGACACTTTAGTCTGCATGATATTATTGAAAATTTCATAGTATGCGCATTGGTACATGCCGTTTGAAGGTTCGGTTAAAGAAAACGTGATCGAAAAATCTGTTATAATTTAAAAAGTAGTTATACCCCTAAACAGCATATCTCCAAGCTTTGTCGAATGACCAGAATGTGAATCCTCAATGAGTTACAATAATTATACTATACGAGACATAGAATATAATACCACTGACTGTCATTGATCACCTTTGGGACATTTGATTTACCGTGGTAGGTTCTGCTTGAGATACTTTAGTTTTAGTGAGAGTTTTACAGCACTTGCAACACAAGAAGGTCATATAAGCGCCAAAGATTAAAGGTGTTACAAGAGAGTAACAAACACAAAACCAAGGAGGACAGATCGGGGCGATAGATGTTTGATAGCAAAGAAGAAGCAAACCACACCAGAGCACTTACCAACTACCAGCAACTTGAGGTATATAAATAATAATGTTACAATAATAACTTAACTGTCGACGTATAAAGATGACCAATGCATTTTCAGAGGGGAATATTAAAAAACATAAGCAAAATAGAAGAAATAGAGATTAACTTCTGCTATGGCCAATGACAGGACACCAATTCTGTCACAACAGACTTTGCCACATTTTGGATATTTATAAACTTAAATTTCCACTTATTGGTTCGCGCACGTTACACGCTTCACTCTTGGTTAGAGCATTCCTGATTTGTAAACATTAATATGTACAATATTCATTTTCGTTACGAAATACCCCACCAATGCAGACAATCTGACAGACATGCCACCGCTGGTCGCC